AATGGGTGGCGCTATGGCCTATAGCGACGCTATAGGCCATAGCGCCACTTTCACAGATTCATTTTTTAATTATTTACTTATATTTTTTTTTAAACAGTTTTTTTATATTAAATATGTGGCACTATAGACTATAACGAGTTTAGTGAAGTTGTTTTGTGTCGCTATAGACTGTAGCGACACTGTGAATATGGCTTTCATGGCTTCGCTGGAGTTACAAAAATAACACGTGTCACGGGTGTTGCTATGGTCCATAACGACACCGTTATAAACAGTCCCAAAGGCGTAAATACTTACAAAACAACCCTATTTGCATAATAAAGTTTTAAAAGGACCCTACTTTAGTCAAAAAAAATCATATCATATTTAATAAATCGAAGGGTTAAATAGTTGAACCTTTCATATGTATTTTTTTAATCTAAGTATTCTTCGTTTAAAGATCAGATACTAATAGTAATATCTCGTACAACTAATATCTATTTAAGATATTGACATTTTTCAGTAGATATTTTTCTTTCTTATATACGGAATCTAACATAAATTTGTCTGGGATAGTAAATATAAATTTCTCATATGTATTCTTAAATTTTGGATGCTTTCCTACTTTAAATTTAACACATTTCATTCAACATTAAACACTTTAAATTTAATTTCTAGATATACATACATCTCTCTGTATGTATGTGTATAATTGTTTTAATTTTATCATATATTAATACATGTTATAAATGTTCTATTAATATATGTTTAGTGATTTGCAAATTTTGTACTTCCAAACTAAATTAAAAGAAGAAAAAACACTGATTGACACTAAATAAAAAAATTACTTGACATCATTTAATTTTACTAATATTACTACGAATAATCGTCAAGACAAAATTTCATCACAAAATCGTTACCTTGTTCCCTAGCCAAAGCAATTTATTTATTTGATTGTTCTGCTAAAGAAGTATTTACAAATCAGTACTAATTCAAATTAAAAGACTAAACAAAAGGAGACCAGGTCGACATCGTATAGTGGCCAAAGAAAACCTTTATCTATATGGTTGGTGATCTGATTGAATGAGTGATCAAGAGACTGACGGATCTACTTGTAATATAGTGGGGGCACTTGCCCCCACCACCATTTGATAGATACATATATTTTTTTTATCAAAAAATAATATATTTTAAAAAATAAAAGTTATATTATAATAAGATAGATATATAATTATATTATTGTATTTATAAAATATAAATTTAGTAAAAATACTCATCTATTTGATATCCGTAAAACTTTTGAAAGAAAATAATCTTTTTATATATGATAAAGAATATTTCTTAATAATGAATCAATTTTTTTAAAAAAGTTTAATTATAATATATATATATATATATATATATTAATGTTAACATATATAACATAATTATTAAAGAATCAATTTTTGATAAAAATAAAATTTGCAGGATACATGTTTACTTTTGTAATTTTTATTTATTGTATATGTTGATTAAAAAGATCAAAATAATAAGATTGTATATGTTGATTAAAAAAAAATCAAAATAGGAAGTATTAGAAGATTTATGTTTTATTTAGAATTTTTATTACAAAATATATTTTAAAATAAATTATCATCTAAAAATTTATATTAGATATTCAAAACATGTTTATATCACAAATAATTAAACTTAATTTTTATAAAATTTAACATATTTATTTTTATATTTTTATTAGTGTTAAATTATTATAAAATAGATTTTTAGGATTGTCGTTCTAATAAAATATTTTAAAAATGTTTATGACAGATAAGTAAGTCATACTTAGGATAGGTATTTTTAAAGAAAGTTAGAATTAAACTTACTAAATTATAATATAATCTAGTTTGACCTAGTTTATTCGTAATCGTAGATATAAAAGTTTGTAAAAAATAATTATGATATATATTTATATTTTTAAAAGTTATATGTAAAATTTTTAATACTACAAATATATAAATAAATATTGCCCCCACCCCCTACTATCTAAAATTTCTGGATCCGTCACAACCAATGTTTGGAAACTAATTATTTCTCATAATTTTTTAAAAATTTTCTAAGAAAGCTGATAAAAATACAGCAACTGTTTCTCTAGAAAAAGTTACACTAAACAAGCAATTGAGTGTAAAAAAGGTGGAACCTAGAGGCTAGTACCCCTTTGCTCTTCTTCTGAGCTCATTAAGCTCCTTCTCAAGCTCCAAGTCAAGGAAGGGAGGGAGTTCTTTGTTGGTGGAAACAGTTCTTCCTGGTGGAAGTTCTCCCTGCTGCCAATACAAAAATAAGATCACAATATTGAGGGTCTGATTGATTTTCTTCCATCCCATGAAGCAATAAACAATAGAGCGGATGAATGACACCACATCAGTTCAAATTAAATTCATAGTTAAGCCGTTGGATAATTTTTTTAGGGTTTAATGGTGATGTACCCACAGTGTAAAGCAATTTTTTTATTACTGTTTTTCTCACAAAATTCAGCATTGGATTAAAAGTTCTAATGATATATAAATCATGTTAAAGAAATTTCACATCAATCCAAAATTGTTATATATAAGAACCCGTGATAAAAGAGTTTGTGTTGATGACTAATGTATAGAGAGCGAGTGAACAGTCATAAATAGAGGAATACCTTGGAGCTTCCAGATAATTCTTTCTTTAACTCTGCAAGATCATCATCGACAGAAGAGTTCTCCAGCAGTGCAAACTGTAAATGACACAGGGTAAGAAATGGCTTCTGTTTTTTTTGTGTGAAGGAGGAAAGAATTCAACCACAGATATTTTTCCTTAGAAGATGTAGCACAAAACAGTGAACTGCTGTAGCAAAATGCAACTTACTACCATTATTATGTCAATGAATATCTAATTCATGCATATGTTTTCCAGTAACAACCACAACCACAAATTATAGTGCACACAATCAATAGGAATAGTTCGATGGATTTCAGATCCGCTTTAGCACACACAAAGATACAAATGCAGCATTACTAATAAAGAAACGTTCTGATTAGGGAAATAATTGCACCAGCGAACTTTTAGAAGCTTGTGATTTCTTCTTGTCATTTTCCTTATCAATAAAATAGCTTTTCTATTTGGTATGCCTCATATATATATATATATATATATATATATACAAACAAAAACTTGAAACTAAAACAATCCCTTCATTTTGTTTCAAGAAGAAAAAGATCTTAAAAGAGATATACAGCTTGGTCATATACGAGAAGCTATACTACCTTTCCCTCAAGATTGTCAGTAGTCAACTGGTTCAATGCATCTGCCTGAGCCTCCATGGTTAATACTGAAAAATGAAGTTAAATATATTTCTAAGGCTTGCTTAAAATAAATTGTATAATAACTGTATATGCATTGACAATGATTGATACAGGAATGGAAGTTGTTTACTCAATATTGAGCATTCAAAAGGGTGTATATATAGTGTTAAAAAAAAACTAACCCTTTTCCTCCATCTTATCAAAAGCTGCAAGGGCACTGCTTGTGTTGATATTGGTGACCATCTCACTAACTATGGTAGAAGTCCTAAAGAGAAGAAAAAGAATTGGCTATTTAGAATAACAAAGGGGAGAGACAAACCCATGACCTTCAAAAAAAGAAAGAAGAGCTAATGACAAACTTTGCAGACTGAGCTCTTGCTTTGAGGGTATCTTTCTTTGACTTTGCCTCTTGTATCTTGCTCTCCAAAAGCTGTTGAAGAAAAATAAATAATACAAAATAGTTACATGCATTTCTCCAACATGATTGCCATGTAGTGCTAATAACTGATTGTAAAGGAATTCAACATTAGCAAAAGTGTGCAATGATAGCCTGACAAACATCTGCTTATTTTCTTTGTTCAATTCCCTACAGGTTTAGGACGTAGAGGAGGGATTTTAACCAGGAAGACTTGTACAATACTCAAAAACTTCTGCTACACTTTCACTCCATCCAAAAGAAAAGGCTGAGAAAAGTTATTCCGCAGATACAAATCAAAGTTAAAAGTTGTTGCTTAACAATATCATAGCACTTTGAAGAATATATAGGTTTGTTTTCCCCCAATATAAGACATTTGTTTGCTGTTGATATTTCTACGAATTTTCACCGCAGCTTGTATAAAATATTAAAGGTCCCTTCAAAATACACACACACACACGAGTCAAGATCCGTTGATACCAGGTATAGGTCTAAAAATTTACACCAAACTTACACATTCAATAACTTTTTTGTATAATACAAATTTAACCAATCCAATCGTTGAATTATGTGATATTATACTTAAGATCGTGTATATCAAATTTCACATGATTATAGAATTATTTAGTAGTTTATTACATTGCTTTATTTTAACATATAATTTAAAATGTGAATATTCATTTTCGAATAACATCTAAAAGTTCAAATCATGTGAAATTTGATATACGTGATCTCGAGTATAATATCACATAATTCACGGTTAAATCAGTTAAATTTACAATATACAAAAGTCAAAAAGTTTAAAGTATAAGCTATTGCATAAGTTTTTAGACTAACATCTGGTGTCAATGAATCCTGACTATATACATACATATATATATATATATATATACACATACATATATTGGTAAAGAAAGATAACATATATACTTATATCATAGTAGTTAATTTTTTTCTGGTAAGGGTATTCATATAATTATTTGACATTATGTACATTCACCTTATTAATTTAATTTTCAGTAGCTAACATCAGCACATTTCTATCATATACTTATTGTACAAGTACTCATTCTATGATCCTTGACTTTGTTCTTCCTATCTTCCAAAATGTTTCGCATGGAAATGAAGTGAAGCGTCATGCAAGAACTTGTATAATATCAGAAGGATAGGACAAAAAAGTTGGCTCTGATAAGTCCATGAATGCAAAAAGTGATGGAAAGTAAAGGACTAAGGAAAGTACACCCCTTTTCTCTTGAAAGCAAAGCTAATGGAACTAAATGGATTGGAAACAGATATATACTGGAAAAAGGTCGTACGACCATTGCATGATGTACTGTTGAACAATGATGCAACAATAATAGTCAGGATAACTCAGCATGAATCATTTAGTTATAAAACATGCAAAAGAGAATTGAAGCTCACATTTTAAGAGAGACAAGCATCTTTAAATATAAGCAAATGGAGTATAGTTATAAACAACTTTTTCATACAAAAAAAGAAATGATTATCTCTTCTTCTCAAGGTCAATCACACTATTTCCTGTACAGCTAGATCCAGCACATTGCTCAATTCACACAAAACAGCAGTAGCTTAAGCTGCCAGCAAGAAAATTTCATGAACCATGATAAAAATACACATATGTCTATACTAAAATATAGAGCTGCATCATTAAAAAATGGTCTATTACTCTATGAACCACATATCTTTCACTGTACAAAAATTAAAAATTTAATTTTCATGTAAACAATATAATTATAAATTGATTGAAGTTCCTCAAATGACAACTCTTACTACGTCACATCTCTACATTTTCCTCCTTTTAATTCAATTTGTAAATAAATTAAACTAATAAAAGATATAAAATGGATTAATAATCAAGTTCTGGTATAGTATGTTATGTCCACATAAAGTTACGGAATAGCTACCAGTGGAAAACTTATTATAAAAAATGGCAACTAACCCGTGTTTTGGACACAAGATCATCAGCAACATTCTTTTGCTGTTCAAGTTGTACCTTCAAAGCAGTTGCATTTTCCTGTACACATCACATACAATGTAGACAGCAGAAGTCAACTTCAATATACCTAAAGTGTTTTCAATTCATAATGACTTACAAAAACTAAACAACACAGACAAAATAAATGAGTCTACACATGCACCTGCACACAACACAACGCAAAGGCCAGAAATCAAACTTCAGTTTACCCAAACAAGTCGTTTTCAATTCATTATGACTAGCAAAACAAAACAACACAGACACAAAATAAAAGAGTCTGCACACACGCTGACATACACTCAGACAAAAAAACACACATGATGAAAAAGGAAGAAATCAAAGTTCTCTCTAGCTAAACATCTTGTTTTCAATTCATAAAAATTAAAAAGAACTAAACAACACACAAAAACATGAGTCTGCATATCTGCAGTTGTAATTAGGGATTATCCAACTATTGATTTGCTACCAATTTCTGTGTCTATGTATGACAATGTGGGGATGTTTGCATTAGATTAGAGCTGTTTTAAAAGAGTAAAACTCTAAAACCAAGAAAAAAGCTGATTATGAGAAATAACACTATTAGCTATTTCAGGCTTTTCAGTATAAATGTAGGGAGGTATTTTAGAAATAGTGACAGACATCTAGAATTTGTATCAACAACCACAGCCAATCCTCACTTATTCCAAGCCATCTTTGTAAACTAACAGCCATCATACTAAATACAAGAATCTTGAATTCACAAAAAAATTATACCCAATCAGTGTAGTGTGTTACATGAACTAGTGCAAATCCAATAAGATCTTTGGCAATTGAATAACATTAACAACTATCGGTTTAGAGATTCCTTTTTTAAAAACAAGACATTATAGTGCCTCTGACTCTGTATGCATTTCCCTACTGCTATATTAAATTTCAAAGCCATAAAGTAACAGTTGGAGCTGCTATAGTGGGTTGGTGCAATGGCTAATAAAAAAAAATTGAGGAAGAAAGCTAATATTGGAAACAATGGGGAAAGAAAGAAAAAGAAAAGTCGGAGGAACCAACAGTAACCATGTTTAAATGGGAATGAAACCGATTACAACCAACTCAAATGTGAAATATTTAACACAAATGCACTTTCCTTTTCATCTATTGATGATAAAGAATGTGTGTACTGATAAAGTGTTATCTAATGTCAAGAACTTTATGTAATACATTTAATTCACGTAATCACATTTATGATGCATAAAACTCAGTCTCCTACAAGTACAACAAAGCTTTTAGATAGGTAAGTGGCGTACAGCATAAGACTTTCTTCTCTTAAGTGCCTCACGGGCAAGTTCCTCATCTTCCTTCTGAAGAGCAAGCTGTGCCCTTCGATACCTATTATCAAAGTAAGGAAAGGGGAATAAGTAAGAAACAATGAATGGCTGAGTGTAGATAAAATAGAAGTTTTCAAAACCAAAAACTGTAATGGAAAAAGTATACCAATCATCAGAAGCTTTTTGTACAGATTTGTACTTTCCTTCTAACTGCTTTTGAGATGCTAGAACCTGGAGAAAATGAAAATTCACAAGTTTATTGAAAAATGAAAACATCATTCAGCTCAATGTCTGCCATATTCTTATGCATTAGCAATCCCCTTCTTTTACAGATTAAATAAAAGTAAAACTCAGGCTGGAATATAAGCATTGACCACTCAGGATAGGGGGAATACAAAAATACAAATGCTTAACAAAAAAAGGGTGACACACTCATTACATACCTGTGCTGTAGCTTGACGAACCTTTATCAAATCATTGTTCATATCCAGCACAGCCTGTTCTAATATCTTCTCAGGGTCTTCAAAGGAGCTTATAATGGCATTGGCATATGACTGCATTAATTCAAAGCCATCAGCATAAAATAAAAATTGTAGTGAAAGTGGGGGATGGAAAAATTCAACTCCATATGTTAACTAAGGCTCCGTTTGGAAAAAATTCTTCATAAATACTGACGTTACCTTGATAACTCTAGCAAATCTGCTAAATAGATTCATCTGAGAACCAAGGGCACCACCACCATGACAATTACATTTCAGTCTATCCGAGTAGCATACCCGTATACCAGGAACTTCCAATGCTCCTGCTGCAATAGAACCCCACATGATCAATCTTCATATTCCTTCAACTTTTTCATTGGAAGAAGCATTTCTTTCATGCTAAAACGACCATAAAAACTTTTTTTTTTTTTTTTTTTTTTTACAACTATGAGGTATAACTTTCTCCTATCATATTATAATGGGGTTAATCCATTAAAAGGGTAACTAGTCCGGTTGCAACACTATGCCCAAGCAAGACATGGACTTTAATGCCGGTTGCGATTCTATGCACAAGTCAGATATGGACTTCGACGCTTGATTAAAGAATACAAGTGTTGACTCGCTTGTACTATAAACATTTGGTAAAAGATATATTTTTATAGACACAGAGCACCCTTTTTCATGGTTTTGGAGAAATGAAAATTCTGCCATCAAAGTGATCTAAAACGTGGCAACCTATTTGTTTTGCTAGTTTAACAACCGTGACCATATTTTGGTTTGGGGGGATCAAAGGATCATAAAAACGTGTCTTCCCATATGGTATATAAAAATATATGTAAGAAGAGAGGGAAAACAACAGCATGAAGATGTTATGATATATGGTTAGAAGAAAGGTAGGGACTTACAGCGGTAACTGAGAAATGATGATTTGAAGGGTGGAAGAGTGGAAGGTTTGATTGATACGAAGGCGGAAGGCGTGGCCTTGATAGCCATTTTAACTTTTCTGGCGACTCAACTCAATCGTGTGTTCTGTTGTGCACCCACCGCAATCTGGCGACTCAACTATGATGCCACATTAAAACAACCCCCACGTGTAGCCTCTTTCACGCCAACAAACATCACCCAGATAATTTATCTTAAGGATTCAAAATAGGTATTACTCAAATTATTTAGTTTTGAGTTTAACATCACTTTTGTTTAACTTTTTTTTGTTATAACTAAATATTTATAATTAATTATAAATATAAATAAATATTATATATTTTTATATAATGTATAAGTTTAAGACATGACACAACTTCATAGAAAGTTATAGTTAGTCTGTCACCAATTCGTCTATTTCATCTTAATACAAGTGTGGATAAAATCTCATTTTAATATAAGTTTGTATGAAATGATATAAAATATAAGGAAAATTTGATTGGATGTTAGGTATTAGTTAGTAGAAACATGTGATCATTATAGGATAAATAAATATTATATTTGAATATATAAATTATATTTAAAATTTATGTGAATAAATATTTTAAATATATAATTTCTATTTTATACCTATAATAAATAATTTTAATTGTGAAGTATGATTTTTTTTTAATTGCTGATAACTTATTTAAACTAGTAGGATCGTTTGAGTCAAAATTAGGGATGGTAACGGGGCAGGGCAGGTATGGGTTTCATGATACCCGTCCCCGTCCCCGCGAGTTAAACCCATCCCTGTTTCCATACTCGTACCTGTCGAGTATGTGATTTTTATTCCCATCTCCGTCTCCGTCGGGTATCGGGTATACTCGTACCCGTACTCGTACTCGTCAATTTTTTTTATATTTTTTATAAGAAAATATGATATTTTAAAATTATATTTTTTATTATATTATAATTGGGGACAGATACGAGTACGAGTACGGGGCGAGTAAGTAAATACTCGTACCCGTACCCGATTTAAAATATCGGGTTTTACCCGTACCCGTACCCGTACCTGGTCAAACTGGGTATTTCCCGTCAAAGTTGGGACGAGTTTGGATATTACCCGCGGGTACGTGTATATTTGTCATCCCTAGTTACTATATATCTAATTTAAATAAAAGTAAAATGTAAAAAAAAAAGTATGTTTTATACTAATTTCATTTTAAGGAGAGTTGTGGTTATTAAAATAAAGAATGTAAAAGTGATAAATAAAAATATTGACAAATAAATGAGAATTGTCACTTTAAAAGATAAACATGTCATAAGAAAAGTGAATCAAAATTTGAGATTTTCTTTATCTATTGTTATATATATAGATAGATAGATAGATTGTTATATATATAGATAGATAGATAGATATAGATGATATATATAATAGATAGAGATAAAAATAAAACAATAAATAGAAATCTAAAAAACAGAAAAAAAAATATAAATGTTACATAGGAAGTTAAATAGTTGTAAGAAATATAATAGTATAAAAAAAATAGAGATCAAAATGAGTTTATAAAATCAGTATCAAAATATAGATACTTTGTATGCATCTACATATTTATTTAACAAAATAAAAATAACAACAGTTACTAAAAAAGAAACATAATGATATTAGTTTTATTTAAGTCATCTCCATTAAGAGATTCTTAAATATAAGAATTGACCCTACAAATTTTACTAGTAAAGTAAAATAATGTAGATGTCACGTGCAATAATTATTTATATATAGAAACATCTTCAATAATAAAACTCGTACTGAGTTCTTAATATATTTTATGTGGATCCTTAAATGTCACTGAAAAATTTATAATTATTTTTCTATTTTTACTCTAACAAAATTCACTTTCTAGGCCCCATTTTTTTAATTTAAGTAAAATAATAATAATAATAGTAAATATATTTTTATTGATACAAAATATTTTTTGAGTGTTCTTATATAAGAACCATTTTTACAATGTGACATTTACATCACACTATTCTAATAGTAAAATTTGCAAGAACTCATTCTTATATTTAAAAATTCTATTAAAAACTTTATTGGAGGTGACTTCAAAACTTTCAATAATTAATTCTTAAATAATTAAAAAATATATATTTTTTATTATTTTCATTTGACAAAATATTTTTAAATATAAAAGGTGAGGTCAATTATTGAATAACATTGAGTGAATTGAGAATTCAAGTTAGGTTATTTTATTGGAGAAAAATAAAGAAAGTTTTAAATCATATGTGGCATTCATAAACCCACATAAAATGGATTAAGAATTCAAAATAAGTTATATCATTTAATAATTATTATTTTAAAAAATATAATGCGAAGTTACTAAAAGAGAGTATTGGTTAGAATGTCAAATAGTAGTAAAATTAAAGTACTTTAAATTGACTTAGATAAATAAGTTAAATGATAGATGAATCTCAAGAAAATTGGAAATTTTCACCAATAAAATTATGAGTTGAGCATCTCACCAACAAAAAAAAAATCACACACAATACGTGTAAAGTCTACTTAGATACAAACTAGAAGCATTATTGAGGATTTTTCTACTAAAAATAATAAATATTTTTTCATAAATAAATTCTTAAAAATATTTATAAACTTATATTCAAATATATTCTTAAATTAATACTTTGAAATTTCGTTCATTAGAAATTAATCAAATTACACATGACTTAAAATCTGGCAAGTGCTCATGATAACATTAAAAACAAACTACACAGTTGAACATTACAAACAAAATACATACTTCAACATTATGAAATTAAGGTTACATTTGTCACTCCAAATCCGTCAGGTATAATTGCCTCCAAGACATTCCAAATCTATCAAGTCAAACTCATAAATAATCTATAATGAGAAATTCTAAAGAAGTGAGTGTAGATTATGAAATGTGGATTGAGATATTATAATATTAAGAATAAACAAAATGTGGATTGAGATATATTATATAATAATAATAATAATAATAATTGATCGAGTGATAAAATTGGATTGAATTTTCAATCAAAATTTGTTATCTTAATTCAAATTTATTAAATTTGCATTTTTTCAATTAAATCAAACCAATGATCTGATCTAATCCAAATCTTTAAATTAGAATTAATTTGAATTCATTAAATTTTCAATTGATCTTTATGATCATCCTTAGTATTTTATTAGAAG